CTGAAGGCTCAGTGAGTAAGGTGGAGTAAAAGTGTTAACACAGTATCAAATAATATTTAACAATATTTCGCAATATCATGACACAAAAGATAAGTTTATCAAAATATAAAAGGTACAAGTTTAAAAGTAAAATATCATTTAACAAACAGAAATATTACAATGGATAGCATGTCTATTTTACCATCCTTAAAGGAAGTTTACTTTTCTATCTAATAATATTAATGTTTGAAACTATGCATAATTATTAATTAACTGAAGTCAAAGGTTCTACTATAACTACCAAGACTCTGAGAGATTGCTACTTCTTTTATACCTTTTCACCTTCATTCAATTTTTACCCATCATCCTTTGTACTCATCCTTCATCCTTACATGATATCTTTTGAATGAAAACACCAGTTATTATCCCAGGTGATTGTACAATCATCTTTGTATCACCATTTATCATCCCCTGTGATAATTTGCATCATTGCCAATTTACTTTGCCACAATACCATCACATTTTTTTGAGTTTCCTGATCTTTTGTACTCAGCATTATAAATAATATCAGAACTATCTTTTGTTATATAAGGTATCCATTCTATTTCTTTCCATCTTGATTCAATTTTTTTTCACTTGTCCATTTATCAAAATCATAGATAGTGCAAAGTTAAGAAATAAAGAGATAATTTACACATATAATCATTCCATTCACAATTAATGTCACTCTTATCAATAATACATATCTGGTGTAATAAATGCAACACTGTTCTATTATATGAATAAATACTAATAGTTTTTCAATGAATTGGAAAGCCATGACAATAAATATATAGAGATAAAATATATTTTTTTCCTAGGACGAGTGTAGCATATACAGCTTATATTTTTAAAACAGGATTATCATTAATATTGGCAGAGCACAAAAAAATTAAACCTGTAATTTTATTATATAATTTATTATTCTCAATTAGATTAGCTCTTTGATATAGAATAGATTTTAAGTTATATCATCACTCTTATTTTAAAAATGCTGAAGATAATTTTCCAACAATTATAATCAAGATTTTATCATCCCAATTTACAAAACATGTGTTTGTTTTAATTTCGAATTTTATTTGCTGTCAGCAATTTTGAGAATATTTTTTTAAAATTAAGAAAAATAAAAATTACAGTAGAAATACAAGAAATCAAAACTATTGCATCTATTCCTATTCTAACCAAAGACTAATATCTAATGCTTTTGATAACTTTTGTAAAGTAGGAGTAATAATTGAACAAGAAGTAATAATAATCATCCCAATATCATATGGTCTAGTGAATGTAGATATTTGAAATCTACATATAATAAAGATATACTTCTCCAAGTCACATTTATCTCATTTGTATATTCACCAAGCAACAGAAACACTGTCAAGTGTATAAGTGGTCTAATGTATAAAATTGAAATAATTAATAATGAGCAAAAATAAATCTAAATAATTTAAATGGGGATAAATATTTATCATCATATGAGTAAATTTCTAATTAAACTTTAAATCATCTCTCTGACTAATAATTAAAAAAATTATAAACTTTGAAACTATCTAATATTTATACAGATATAAATATTTTCTAGATCAAGTGTAGGCTTTTTCATCATTAATAATAAATCTATTTTCAGAATTTTTATCATACATATATAAAAATTTTGTTTCAATATATGAAATACAGTCAACCCTCGATACAACGAATCTAGTATTTGGGCCATTTAAGCCTTCATTATAAAAAAAATTCATTAATGGTACAACGAAAATTTACAAAAATCTGGTATAACATTTAGCAAATATTTTTTTAAATTTGTTATATATTTTATTGATAAAATCGAAATTTATGAAATTTATTATTTTTATATACTATTTATACTATTTATATACTATATGTAATACTTCTAAGAAATATCTTCAATAAAACTATCGAAATTACTTCGTGTGATTGGGGGGTGTTGTCTTGTGGCTTCTTTTTTTAATTTTTTTACATATTTGATTTCTTTCGTTGTATCAAAATTTTTCTCCTGTTGTCCTAATATAAAATTATTTTATCACATAATTGAATAGCTTCATTGTGAGTAATAATTGACAAAGGATCTGGATTTTCTTCTATTTCTTCTTAATTAGGAAGAGCTATAGCTAGAATTTCATCATTAGTTCATATTTCTGTAACAACTTCCGTATCATCATAATGAATAAATACATTAGCACTAAAAGGATCTTCAAGATTTAGTCTATTAATTAATACTTGAACCTCATTTGTATTATTTACTGTAATTTCATCTATTTCCATTTCGCCTACAGTATAATCCAAATTAAATTCATCTGTATCTACTTCAGGTAACACTATTCCATTTACAAGCAACATATTTAATTCATTTTTCAATATTAATTTCAACAGGTTCAATACCATATTTATTATATTTATCAAATGCTTTAACACGATTGTATAAAAATAATTATCGATATTGTGCCTAAAATAAAAATAAAATTATTAAAAAATTTTAAAATTTTAATTAAATAATTACATAAGGTAAATTTTGAGGTGGAAATTAAGTGACGTGGAGCGATTTTCTGCCAAGATGTTTCTAAGGTGAATCGAAAGCCCTGGTTCCGGATTACATTTTTATATGTATTACATTTTTGTAGTATCAATATTCACCGAAATCATGACGTTTAAATTCGGAAGTCTGTAAAAATCCTAATAAAAACTTTTCATCACGATCTCGATGAATATTGATGTTAGAAAAATGTAATACATATAAAAATGTAATCTGGAACCATTGCTTTCGATTCATCTTAGGAACATTTTAATAAAAAATTGCTCCCTATCACTTAAATCGCGAGTGAAGTTAAAAACATATTTTTTTCACAAAATTTAAATAATTTCAACCTCAAAAATTTTCATGATACATAAAAGATAAATTTATTTACCTTAAAACCATTAATAATTCCTTGATCACAAGGTTGTAGATGTGCAGTAGTATTTGGAGTAAAATTTCAATAGTAATATTTGCAACATGTTTTGTTTCATAAAGAATATGTGTAGTGAATTATCAATTAAAAGAATAGGTTTTCTATTCTGTATTCTCATTTGTGTGTTAAGTTTTTTAATATAATCATTCCAAATTGAAACTAGCATCCAACTTTTTAAATTTCAATAATAATTTGCTGGAAGAGTATTTTTATTTATATGTCTAAGTGCTTGTGGATTTTCATATTTGTGAATTAATAAAGGTTTAAGTTTTTCAGTTCTGGCTGCATTTCATGTGAGTAAAACTGTTACACAATCTTTTGACCGTTTTGTTCCTGACATTGAATGATTAGAAATTGTATGACTAGATCTCATTTTCGAAAAAAGAAAATTTCATCACAGTTAAAAATATCTTAAGAATTATAATCTTTTAAAATTTCATTGAGATTTTTACGCATTTCATTAAGATTTTGAAGTGGAGCACTTGATGCTTCTCCATACATATTATATTGCTTGAGATTATGCCACTTTTTGAATTTTTCAACCCATCCACCTGAACTCTTAAATTTATCTTTTTGCATAAAAAAGCAAATTCTAATGCCTTTGTAGAAAGAATGTCATCTGTAATATTGATATTTGTTTCTTCTGCCCAAAATGTTAAAGCATCTTCTATAATAGGAGAAGGAATTTTTTTTTCTCAGCGCAAGTAGCTTGATATGAATTAAGATCTACAGCAAGCCAGCAATCTTTTGCCTTTAAAATATCACTTATCATTTCTTCACTAACTTCATATTCACTAACTAAGTCTTTGTTTTTTAGAAATGGTAATGATGATTTTTTTAAACATATTTTTTTTGTGCTGCTGTAAGAGACTTGCGTTTGTTTTTTGGCATTTCAAAAGATATCAAAAAAAAAAAATCTTTCCATTATTAATTTAAAATATTAGATTGATAAATTGCATGGTTGATTCCAAAATTACTGTTAGTCGTAATGATAGGGTAGTAACCACCTCCTTAATCTTTATTATAGTTTTTATAATTTGAAAATAAATTTATAAAATGTAGAGTAATTTTTCACTAAGATATTCTTAGTACAATTTTAAAGTCCTTATTTCAAACTTTCTAAAGGTAGTTTAATCATCATTTTAGCTTCAAGATTCACCAAGTTATCAATATATAAAAATAACGTTTAAAAATTTTCTTGAAAAAATTCTTCGTTATGCTGAAAAAAATTTCTTTCTAATAAAAAATTCCGTATATTGAGGTACTTTTAATATGCATGTTCACCAGGTTAACTTCGTACTATGTTATACTATAATTAATTTAGCAAATCCGTTATATCAAAATTTTTTTATTATAAAAAAATGGGCTGAATACATATTCGTTATATTAAGAAATTCGGTATATCGAAATTCGTTGTATCAAGGGTTGACTGTATTCTGTTTAATGATTATATCTTTTCTTAATTTTTAAATTCTATCATAAATTTAATTTTCATTAAATTATCAAAACTGAAATAAAATTTTCTGTTTTTAAATATTCAGTATGGATATGGAAAGTTGAAATCAGTCTTCAGAACTAAGCACAATTGGATTGGTGAGTATTGAAAAGTCATTGAAAAATTATATATAAATTAAACTTCCATCTGGTTTATGAATTTTTTGTTCTTCAATATTTTGCACAAATATAATATAAAGATTGCTTTTCTTTTAATAAGTACTGAAATTGATTTAAATTAAATATCATAAGACAAAGCACTCCTAATCTAGACCACTTGTTTTATTAAATAAATAAAGGTTCTTTTACTTATTTTCTTGATCTTGAATAAAACTTAAAATATTACATGCCCATCTAACTGTTTTTATAGTAACATACTTACCCTAAAAGTTCTTTATAAGAATTTTAAATTGCTTGTTACTTCGACCCCCAATTTAGCGTAACTGTCAATGTTGAACATCATACCATAAATTCCATAGTTGTCTCTATAATTTCTTGTTTAACTTTTCTATTCTTCTACCAGTACTATGATTAATATAATAAAAATATACACATATAAAATGTAAGTTTTTTTTGACTTTTAGAATATCTTAATTGTATCTCCGATGCCCATGTTATGAATTATAATAAATAAATTTGTGAAGGAGGATTTCGTGCGAATAAAGATTTAATAAACAAGCAAATAAATAAGATATAAAATAAATAATAAATATTTCAATTTATACCAGAAAGTTCTAAAGCAAAAATTCTATAAATTTAATTAAAAAATGTTGGTATCTCGTCTCCTCATTCTCCTCTGAAGAGACAGAATGTATGCACACCCAATAAAATTAGTCTTCATATCCGCAAAACTAAAAGTCTTATCATGATTAGTTGTAATACAATCGAATTATTCGTGATACAATTAATTATCTGTATATTGTGTACTTGCAAATTTATGCTCGCGAATGTTTAAAAAAAAATTAAGTTTAACAATAACTAATGCTGATCAGATACCTAAAGGTCTAAAAATTTAACCTGTTTTTTTCCTTCTTTGCGAAAAAAAATCATGTCAGTCACAAAACCCAGTACAGATATATATATATAATTTTGGCATTTATTGATTTATCATTATCATTTGTTAATATTAAATTTCCAATGATGACAATTCAAGAAATTTAATTTGCATCATAATTATTTAAACAAAAAATTCACGGAATCCATAACTTATTGTTTTATTAATATATTGTCACCGCACCCAAGTTCAGTGGGAACTGTGAAAACAGTTGTAATTATTATCCTAAACTATTTGACGAGTTTTAAGAAATATTTGAAGGACCAAAATACCTCGAGGTACATTTTCTTTATTATTTATTATATTATTCATGATCATATATTTGGTCTTCGTGTTAAAATTGATTTCGAAAAGGGAGAATGATGAAACACTTTCAAAGTTACTATACTTCAACATGAAGATTTATTACATGATAAATTGAATCATGATAATAATATAGTATTAATATGTATGGAAATCGAAATAACATAGGTATAAGAAATATAATTATTCATTACCAAGAAATCCACAACAAAAACATAAAGAAAAAATCATATCTCGCATTCAAATCATATACTCTTTGATAATAATATTTCTCAATTAATCACACATTCATCACAAAAATATTATTGACATTAGATGGATTAGACGAATTAGTAAGTGGCGTAAATATAAAAGTTTGAATTAATTTGAACATACATGACAGAGATTAAATATACATTTACGGGATTTTTTATGTATTTCAATATTGAATGTAATAATAAATGATAAATAATTTAAAACATGAACTGATATAAAAATATTTTTAACAAGAGATTGAATATACTGTCCCGGAAAACTAATTCACATTCACGATATAATTTTCAATTTTAATTTTAACTAAATAGTTATTATATAATAAATAGATAATGGCATTAAAATACAAATATAAAATAATTATTTATATATAATATTTGAATAATAAGATTACATTATCCAATTGAACAATTTGAAATTTATTTTTTAATAATCTTAAATACTTCATAATCCACAATAGAAAAGTCACCATCAGTTGCTCTAATAGGTTTTTCATAATTATCCATACCAAGATCACACCAACATGCTTTATCTTGCGTAAAATCAGAAACCATTGACTTAATCATAAATTCATTATAACCGAATCGTGGACCATGAATATTCTGATCACTAGAATTAAAATAGTATAGAGCTCCATAACTAACTATAACTCGACTGAGAATTGAATCTTGAATATCACCATTTTTTAATGAAAAAATGAAACTTTCATTTGTTTCAATAAAATCACCTAGTTCTATTGAATTATCCCAAACTAAAGGATTATAACCACCAATTATTTCATCAGTTCCTGCAACTTTTACAACCACAATTGTACCAGCATGTCCATGACACATGTTCCAAAATATCTTGGGATGAAAACCATCTCTACTTCCTCGAAGAATTAATTGAAATTCATAAGGTAAATCTGTTAAAGAATAAGTAGTTGATTTTCGATCAACCCATGATGAAAGTTCTGAAACATGTTCTTTGTTGATAATAGTCGAGAATGGCTCATACACTCTTGAAGGTAATTCGGGGGTTGAAATTACTCTCGCCGGTAAAACAGTAGACGTAACGGGTTTATTTGGAGACATATGATGTTGGATTAAATCATTCCAAAGTTGTTTTTCAAGGATTTTTTTGTAGGGCTTTACTTTCTCCCAAATATCTTCATCAGGAATATGAAAATATCGAATAAGTGGTAGACAGTGCTGTAGAGTTATTTTTAAAGTCTCGAAATTTTCTTTAGACCATTCTTCTGAATTGGCAGGTAGTGTTGGATTTTGTGCAATTCCCCATTTAATAACACAATCACAAATTTTAATTTCTTCGACATTCAAGTCATCTCTTTTTAAAATAGAAACCAATTCTGTTTCTTGGAGTGAAGTGAAATCTTTGGATTCAAAAATCAAATTTGGATGTTTTGCAATAATATCATTATAAAATTTTTTCAAATCTTTAAATTCGTCGCTATCAAAGATTGAATGATAAATAAGGGAGAAATGAGTTCTTAACCAAGAAGCTTTATATTTAACAAGATAACTTTCTAATTTTTCTGATAGTTCTTTAAGTTCTAATTCATTAGCATTGACCATTAATTCATAAATGGTTTTGGCATCCGAATTTTCAATATCGATATCAACAATTCCACCATAGATATATCTATAAAATATATTTTATTTTATTAGTATTGAGCCCAATATAATTAATTTAAAATTTAAAGTAATAATTATTTATTTTTTTTTGACTTACTTAAGAATAATTTCGAATATTTGAACAGAAATATTTGGTTTAATAATAGTTTTGACGTACTTTTTATTCGTGGGAGCGTTCTCTAATTCTTTATCAAAGTAGGATGAACGATAACGTAAGATAGCTGAATGTGCAGTAAAAGACTTCTTATTACTTTCTTTATCAACTTCGATAATGACATTGTATTCTTTTTTGTCATTAATAAGTTCTGAAAAATCCTGTGATAATTTATCAAAAAATTTCAAAGACATTTTTTTTATAATTTTAAAATTTCATGTACAATTTATTGACTAATACCTAAAGAGTCGTCCAAAAAATTCCACGTGCGTGATACCGTAATGACTGTCAAAATTCTAATATTTGTGTTACAGTTGTTACAATTATATTGAGGTGGCACGAAAATAGCCGGAGTCACGGGGATGATGGAGGATGATATGTGTCACTATTTGGATGAATTATCCTTGTGTGCCATCCATCATCCAGGATGACTGTTTATTCATCCTGGCACGAAAACGTTTTTATGGATGACAGAGGATGACGGTAAAC